ATCGAAAGCAAAATTCTGTTCGACAGAAAATTCGATACTCAACGAAAATTTCGACACGCTTGCATAGCTCATAATACGAATTTCACTTTCGATCTTCGATCTTCGATAGCCAGCGAAGATCGAAAATCGAATGCAGCTCATAATAAGGGCCTAAATTTCCCCGATGACAACGAGTATAAATGAGCTGCCGGATCGAGAAAAATCAAGGCGAATTTATACAAGGTGGTGTCATGAACCAAAAAGACAAGATCATGCGGGCAGGAGAGTAGCCCGTTTAGAGCGAAATACACAACACGAGCGGCTTGACAAACCAAGCGAAATATCCCTTTGTTTCAATCCATTTGTGTTGTCTATGGGGGTGTTTGAAGGTTTGACAAACCGCTTGAGGGAAATTTGAGCAAAAATCAAAATTTTTTGATTTTCTGGCCGCCATGTTGACGTTTGATCAAACCGCTTGCGATGTGGATGGTAAAATCGCCTCAATTGCAACTGAAATTTCACCAAGTGAAGACGTAAGAGAGAATAATGGTAGAAAACTAAAATGTTTTACATTACGGCTATTCGCGATTCGGTGCATAAGAGCTGACAAATTTATGCAATTGCAGAAATATGCCATGGATTGTGAGCGACCTTTATTAAACTGTCATGGTAAACCTTTTTTAATCAGCTGATAGAAATATCAACCACAGTTGCATTGCATAGCATTTTTATGCTATGGATTTTCGGTATTGCAAATGCGTGTATTTTGTTTGTGTATTGCAAATAATTTGCAATCCAATGATGCTAGGCCATTTGCACCGGATCGCGAATAGCCCTATTGTTAACCGAAAGAAAACTAAAATTCTGTGCTTGAGCGACTCATGTTTGCATGGTCATGGCAAAATGGGAAAAGTATGTTTGACAAGCCGCTTGTGTGGTGTATTTCGCTCTTAAGAGGTGGTGCTGACAGAACAAAAACAAAAATTACAACAACAATTTATACGCACATTGACAATCAGTACAAAGCAAAATTACAACAAACACACCATGTTGACAAAAGGTACAAATTCGCCGTGAAATCAGCGGATCCGATAACACCACCTTGTATAAATTCGCCTTGAGAAAAAATGGAACCGGAAAATAAAAATACTGAGCTTTTAAAAAACCAAGGTTTTTGTGAGGAAAAGTAAAAAATTTAGATCCCAATCTTCGAAAAAAATCAAAGAATTAATTACTGGGCGAAATTTCCATATTCAGATTAGAAAATACGCCAATACTTCGAAAAAAAAAGTTTGCATAAAATAGGTCTTTTATTAAAACACTCGTTATAATTGTGCATACTGACTAGTTACTTCTCCAGTTTTCTAAAGAATAATTAGTTTTAACGTTAAATGTTCACATAATGTATGTAGGTTCAAGCTAAGAGTATCTTTAGACTGGATAAAATATTTTAGGCCCGGTTGTTCAATGTCTGGGTATCACTACCACTACACTAACGACGATTTCGACATCATGCATGTAACATGTGATCGATAAAGCAGTAGTTGTGCTTAACCGGAGCTTCTACCTCCGATTTGTGCTAATCAGACATTGAACAACCGGCCCTTAGTCTGCAGATACAATCAATATAATTCGACTAAAACAAGTACTAAATTCGTTTACTACAAAAATTTGAGTATTCCGATTTGAATATCAATTGAAAAATAAATCTTTGGGTGTGATAACAGTGTTTTGGCTTCTTCCATGCTACTGCTTTCCAACTATTTACTTCTTGGAAAAGTTTCTGTGCACATCAGATTTTATGTTGTAGACTAGATCTAAAAGATCGTTAATCAATAAATCTTTACGAGTTTCTACTGCAGTTTTTATTTCTTCCATTTTATCCCGCGTATCAGCATCAATTTTCAAAGCAACTCCCTCTCTTGATCCCATGTACTATAGAAAATTTAAAATACAAATTTACTTTCGTTGCTAAATTAACATTTCCTACAGGGATCTTGCCTTAGCTTCATATTCCTTCAGTAAACGTTCACGTTCGGCGCGGTATTTCTCGATCTCCTCTACTGCCTCGTCTTTAGCTTGCTTCAAACGCTTTGCTTTACCTAGTCGTGTTGAGAATTATAAATATTTTCTAATTATGACCTCAAATGCTTAATAGGCACATCCGCTGGCTTCGGCAACGAGGCAGCCGTAACAATGATGTTGGAATACTTACGTTTCCTAGCTTCCGAAACCTTTTCTGCTGCCTTTTTCTCAGCAGAGAGAAGCTGCTGAATCCCTGTGGACTGGCTTGTCATTTCACTGTGAAATTACCTAGGAATCAGATAAATTTCAAGAAAATGTATCACGAAAATTGCCACAATGAAAATAAATATTGGTTAGTTGACAGCTGATTACTGGGCTGAACTGCGGGTTGAGTGTGGCAGCATTGATCGAGAACAGAGTTGCTTTTTACAGAGATCATTCTCCGATCATTACGAGAATTTAACACACGAATGTTGAAAAAAATAAATATTCTTATATATACATTCGCCTATATCAATTACGTATTTTTATGCATTGCTTTGAATAGTACAATTGAAAATAAAAATTATATTTTATTTGAAACTATAATGCAACCGTGGAGCTTACACTGCATTTTTGCAGCAGATGTCGCCCCACAAGTTTTTCGTTTCAAGTCGCCCATTTCGGGGGACGACATTTTGTATTGAAAAGTCAACGAGTAAAGAGCAAATAACAAATACGAGCTAGCAGGAAGTTGTGAAAAAAAATCAAGTGGAATTAGAAAAGAAAATCAATTTATTTTATTGAATTCATCCGAAAAAAAACCTGAAAAATGAAGTTCCAATACAAGGAGGATCATCCCTTTGAGAAGAGACGTGCTGAGGGTGACAAAATACGCAGAAAGTACCCAGACCGAGTACCAGTAAGTTTGACGACAGAAAAAGTTGAATTGCGTTTGTATTGCAAGTTTATTATACTCGTTCTCATGCAAGCTTATGAAAAAAATTTTAGTAAATTTTATATATATCTCAGTTGTTAATGAGGGGAGCAGTGGTGAGGAAAGGAAATTTTCTTTGTTACGATAAAAGCAGAGTGAGGTACTAATGCTTTTCTCGTTTTAATTGCGTCATAGAATATAAATTTTTAAAAAGTAAATGTAGCGAACAAGTAGCTTTCTGTGTTTTCCCTATTTTTGTATAAAAGTCTACAAAAATCTCGGGTGCACCTATTTACCAAAGTTTAATCAGGGTTAATGTGTGTGTTTTGGTTTTTCGCTAGTGTTTTTTTTCCTGTTTTCATAGGTAGTGTTGCCAATCATTCCAAAGAACAGTAACAGTAAAGGACAATAGTGGGGGTTACAGTAGCGGTATTTGTGTGATTCTCACACCCGTTGTAGGGTTCATCAATTGTAGCAGGAATACTACAAAATAGAAAGGGAAACTGTGAACTGGTGATTGAACAAAAATTTTGTCAAGGTCAACATCGAACCACCCAATTTAAGGCAACACATATTAGTAAACCTAAAGGTTATTGGCAATAAAAGCATTTCAACATGAAAAAATTAAAATTCTTAATTTGTCAGCTGTTTAATTCGTTCGTTTCGTAAATGCATGCAAAAAAAAAAGCAGTCAAACACGTATTATTAGAATCACAAACAGGCGCTACACAAAAATATCGTCGCTGATACTGCAAAACGGTATAGGTCTATTAGTACTATTGTCACTTAAATGGTCTCTTACTTGCACCGGAATGCATCTGCAAATCGTTACACCCTCCTAAACGAATGACAAAATTGTCTACCTTTGGCTGATGAAGATGAACGATTGCCAGATGTGATCAGATACAGATAACAGCTCAATTAAACACCAGAGGTAAAAAGTGACATAGAACGTTTTGCATTAGCTCCACCGACGATATATTGTTGATTTTGCTAAGGAAAAAAAAATGTACTTGCTATGTGTATCTACAATATATGTAGATTTTTGACTTTGTATTAGTGTTTTTTTGTTTTGTTTTTCATCTATTCGTCCAGTCTTTACTACTGCGGACATATGTATGTATATATATCTACTGTATATTATGTGCATTTTTTCTGCCTTGTATACGTATGGAAATGTGTTTATGCATGAACATACATATGTATGCAGTTTCACAATTTTTCTATATTACTTTGCGAATTTTCTAATTATGTACATACATATCGTTACCTTAATATAGAAAGGCCCTAACTCATAGTCGTT